TTCCTGCTCAAATCACAATACTCAGTTGGAAACTCACAATACAAAGGCGTTACTTCCCTGGACCTTTTATTTCAGACTGTGTCTGCAAACCAGCAGAAAATATGCATGACGAGCCTCAACTGGCTCAACTTTTTTTCAGAGCAGATAGATTTCCTAGTCTGATATCATAAATACATCCTCTCCACAACGGTCATTGGAAGCTTGCAGTATGCCATATGGAAATCATCTCTCTGTTAACACACAGTGGGCCTCAGTAAATATTATAGTTTGGACCAGAAATGCCAGGTATAGAAATGCCAGATAAACAGAGATAAAAACCACCAACAGCACAGGAATCCAAGGTCCGTTTATGTAGCAAGGATGCATCTACATGGTATCTTTCTCTTTTCAACATCCAAGGCTACAAATCACAGACATTTTCCTTTAGTATCATGACACTGCTCACTACACTAAAGAAGGAAATAAATTAGTAGAGTTGTCTGTGTCAGTATGACATTTTTTTAATCAGTCAGTGTAGTGTATCAAGTCCCGACAAGTCTGGACAAGTCCAGACATGTCCAGGGACAACCGTTGAGCTTTGCTCCTAGAGACAATGGACTATGCGGATCCTAGCCTGCTCCAATCAGGGGGCTAGGTTCCTGGCCGAGAAGCCAATGGAACTCTTGGCCACTGTAAATAACCTATTGGGAAGTGGGGGGGTGTTTTGAGTGGCGGTTTCTGGGGGAATATAAGCCAGCCTGCGAGCCAGCCAAAGTTGTCTTGTTCCTGATTGAATAAAGTACGCTTTGCTGAAATCACTCTCCGTCTGCGTACTTTTCAGTCAGGATGGAGACTTTAAAAACCACAGACATCCTTTTCCTCAGTCCTAACTTTTTCTTAGTAGGTGGGGATGGTTCTTGGACCGTGCCGTTAATGCTGCGTCTCCTGTTCCTTTAAGTTAACGGTCATGCGCAAGTGGGATGATCTGGAGAAAGGCATTTTAGGCAGCCCAGCGGGGAATTGCTTTTCAGGCCCACGCTTACACCCCGTTCTTTCAGTCCACGCACCCAAAGTTCAGGTGCTGATTCTGGAGTAGAAATGGACCCTTCTCTGCTGGTATGGCAGTCTGTGCTCAGCCTCAGTACGTTCTGCATCTTATTCAGCACAGCAAGTGCAAACAATAAGTACAATCTACCATGGTTTTTAACAGCAGTCGCTTCAGCTCAAGAGGCAGCGGGGGGGGGGGGCAGCATGTTGCTTGTTCATTGCTGTTTCCTTGTGGAATTTCACACCACCTTTTCCTACAGGCCGTGACGAAAGAAAGTCAAATGAAGGGCAGAACAGAAATAAGAATGCTCATATTCTTGGGAGATTTTCTTCCAGTGTTTATAAGATGTATTTGAGTATGTGTAATAATTTATTTAGCATTTGATCCTTAAAGATGCCATTCCAGCTAAAAATCACGAAAATACAGACCAACTTTTTGCACCATGCAACTCTGAAATGTACATAAAAAGAAATGTAGTCCATTCACTATCCATGGTTTGTCACCACTGATTGTACTCCTGTTCTTAGGGGTTTCTTTCACACAGAATCTCTAGTACATTATAAAAGAGGTACTTTTTCTCAAAGTCATTTTCCCATCTGCCATCATGAATAAAGGCACAGGTGTGGTATCCATGGCCAGCAAACCCTTTGGTGTCACCATCTGACCATCTGGTTGATCCAAAATACACCAGAGTTTCATGTCGAACAGGCTATATACAAGTTAATGTATATGAAGCTGCAAAACACCTTAATGTTTATTAGTAAAGTCACACAAGTTCTTCTTTCTGGCCAAGTCTCCAATGTTTCATGATCCTATTTAGGATATACCCCTCTCCACTCCTCTCCCATCAAAGCAGATCAAACTGGAAGCTGTGGCTGCAGTTGTGCATATCCATCACTTATAAGAAAAACATGGTGTTTATGCTTTTTCATTGTTTTTATGTTGTACCATGTGACCTTTAATTGGAAACCACATCAAGCATTTTGGTGAAAGAGTTATATACAAGTTACTAGATAAAACAAATGAATGTATTAATTTATAGCATACATGTGTAATTAATATATTGTTTCATCTTTCAGACTCAGACTTATATCCTGATATAGTACTTGATTCTGCAGTATTCACTTATGACTCTGCCATCAATCAGAGTAATCAGAGCAAGGAGCACATCATTATCTCAAATGACACTGAAAGATACCTGACTAGTGTATGGCTGGCCTGGTTTGTTCCTTCAGTCCACACTCTTGTAGTTGCTCTGAGCCTTCCTCTGAACCTCATGGCAATCTTTATGTTTGTGGTCAAAATGAAGCTTAAGAAACCAGCCATCGTGTACATGCTCAACCTGGCTTCTGCTGATGTGCTCTTTGTGAGTACACTACCTTTTAAGATTTCCTACCATTTTTCTGGACACAACTGGATCTTTGGACCTGAAATGTGCCGCTTTGTCACTGCCGCCTTCTACTGCAACATGTACTGCTCCATACTGCTGATGACGGCGATAAGCATTGATCGTTTCCTGGCAGTGGTGTACCCGATGCAGGCTCTGTCATGGCGCACGGTGAGGCGAGCCTCTGTGGCATGCTGTGTCATCTGGCTTGTAGCCATAGCTGGAGTTATCCCTCTGCTTATCATGGAACAAACACAGAGAATCCCTCAATTAAGTATTACTACTTGCCAAGATGTGCTAGATTTATCTGTTGTGTTGGAGATACTTCGTTATTATTTTTCCGCGTCAACTATTTTATTCTTTTTTATACCATTAATAATTTCTGTCTCCTGTTATGTTTGCATTATAAGGAACCTTAGCTCATCTAAAACTATTGCTGAAAAACCTGGTAAGAAGAGGCGGGCCATACTCTTGTCTGCAGCTGTCTTGTGTTCTTTTATTTTTTGTTTTGGGCCAACAAATGTATTGGCTTTGATGCAAAACTTACTTCTTTCACCCGATCAAAGGTTTGAGGGTCTCACTTTTGCCTACATATTAGCTGTCTCTGTTGGTACCCTCAGCTGTTGCACTGACCCTTTGCTCTATTATTATGCTTCTTCTGAGTGTCAAAGGAAGGTCAGGAATCTCTTTTGTCAGAAAAAGAATTCTGAGCTTGAAAAAAGCAACCAGACAACAAGCAGTAATATGGCAACCTTTTCTAATAGTTTGAATAATTTGTCTCAAGCATAATATTATATAATTAATTCTGACCTAATAAGCTTGCATGTCACTGACGCAAATAGAAGTTTGCGTCTGCTGTCTTTGGAGTATTGCTGTCTTTGGAGTATTATCACAGTATTTAAAGGTTTCTCACTATTTCACATCACTTTGAATTATAACCATGCCATCTGCTGTTTTGGATAGACATGTAACTCTACAAATGGAAATACTGAATAATGAATGCTTGAAGATCTTCTCCACTGTTTACACAATGTAATTTTCTATAGCTGTAATTAAAAGCAAAAACAGCAAAAGGACTCTCTATGGGATAGAGATAGTCTATCCAATATCATATGTTCTTGGGAGAAATAAATATAAATATGGTCTGAGTTTGTAAAACTATTTGTGAGTGATATTTGTTGTCATATAATTTGTTGTTTAGCCAAATGTTCACTTTCATTGTTATTAATCTGGGTTTGTTAATATATGCCACTGAAATGGAAAAGTTATATTACTCCATTTTCAAAAGGTCATATGGGGATATATTTGAAACTTGAGCTTTAATCTCTAGCTCTGGCTTTGTCTAGCAGTACTTGACAAAACCCACATGTTCCCTGGGAAACTCATGAGTTTTCCCAACAGCCTCCCCACCCTGGACTGTTTCATGCTGGGAAAATGTGCACTGCTGATCCTAACCAGGTACTGCATGTGCAGGAAAATCCACAACTCACATGTGATTGTATTAATCTGATACAGGGTAGGAATTCCAGACCCAGCTGGTATTCGCCACAATATGTGAAGAGTTGTTTCATGGCAGTCTGCTCTCTAATCTGCCCTTTCGGAGCAAGATAATTTTGAAAGAGTAGTTGCAGAACAACTCCAGGTATTCCTAGATTTACCCAAGACGCCTTTCAGTATGGCTTGAGGGTAGGCTGCAAGGCACAGACAGTGTTGGAGTTCTTAGTGTATGACCTCTTTTTGAATGTCAACAAGGGCTGTGCTTCTTTATTGTTGCTATTGAATTGACAGCCTTTGATACCAAGATCATACCATCCCGTTGAGACACTTGGAGACAGAAGAAGGAATCAATGGATTTGCTTTGGATTGCTCCTTATGGATCTAATCCAAAGAGCACCTGTTGGTAGGGTTGCCAGGTCCCTCCTGGCAACTGGTGGGGGGCCAGAAGGACTTACCTGCAACAAGGCAGGCCCAGGCCAGTGTTACATTTCTGCCATACACTAGAAGTGACATCATCACATTGTCAGTGAAGTGGGACACTCTGTTACTTGGGCAAAACCTCTGTGGTAAACCTAGGATTGCCATTCCCCAGTTCTGAGTGGGGGATCCCCCAGTTTTGGGGGATTCTGCCTGCCATCAGCCAATTGGCTGGTGTCAGCGAGCTGTCATCTCTTTGCTGGGTCGCCTCACGTCCCTTCCTTCCCCCCCCCTATCTTCTGTTGTTGAAGTGTTTTCTCTGTTAGGCATCTGCTGCAACCAAGGTCGCCAGCTGGTGAGAAGTAGGAGTTATGTCTTCGCGCTCATGCTTGTTTAGCTTTACCCGTGTGAAAGGAACTTGTGTTTAAGAAACCGGGCGTTACTTTCTCATGTAACTTCGCGCCCTTTCTAATCTCCCCATTTCCAGCGGGAAGTAGGACTATTGGTCCAAACCTTGTTCAAAATCCCTTTATTATACCTGTACTGCTGACAAACGTCATTCCAATCAATTTCTGTATGTTCGTGATCAACCATGTCTTTGAAATAAATCTTGCTTTACTTTTGAACGTGGATCTATTCTCATGCTTGGGGATCTAACAGCTGGCAGGGGAAACCCCGCCGCCAAACAGAGCCATCATCATGTGACTTCCCCGATGCGCTGATGTCACATGGAAGTGATGTCATAATGTCAGGGACGTCACGCGGCAACACTATGGTTTTTAGGCAAAACTCTATGGTTTGGTGCTGACTTTACCATAGACTTTCCCCAAAAAACCAGAGTGTCACTGGTGCAGACATTGGACCTGGTAACCCTAGGTAAACCATTGAGTAACTTTATGGTAAACCGTTGTTGCGATGCTGACTGAAGCATCCCCCTGCTGGTGGTAAGTCCCTCCTGCTGGCCAGTTTATTGGCAGCTGCGGTGGGGGGATTCCCTGGTGGGGCCCTGGCAGCCCTGGCTGTTTGGAAGACTGGTTGTCATCATTTTGGGGCTTGCCGTGTTGGTTTATCCCCCTTTTACTCATCTGAGTGAAGCCTTCTGAAGGCGCCACCCTACAAATAAGTAAAACTAACAGCTGCCTATGCATTCTCTGATTGAATTATCTGCCTAATGAGGTCAGGAAGTCTTCCACCCTTTGATCCTTTCACTGAATGTGTAAAAACAGAATTGTGCAAGAGGCTATATTTAAAATAAGGAATAAGGTTGCAGATAATGTCTGTGAAATTTATTCAGTTTTCATTGCTTTGTTCCTTGTGTATATTATAAGAGCTTTTTGCATGGTTTTCCAGTTTTGAAACCCAGCCCTGTTGCATTTATTTGTGTTGTGCTGTTATACAGTATGTATTTAGTACACTGTCCTGCAGTTTTGTAATCCTGTTTTATTCACTGTCACTGCTATGTTTTACATTGTCCTTACTGCATTATTTTTAATGGTGTAATCAGCTTTGTGTCTCAGTGAATGATAAATGAAATAAATTAATTAAATAAATTAAATGCAATACTATCCCCCTTTGAAGCATATAACCCACATGTTTAATCCATTTCATGGAAGTCAAGCCACACTGCCCTCATGAGATTCTTATTAACATACATATAGCAACATCAGTATCTGCATAGTTTCATGACCAAAACTGTTGGGTCTTTCCCACCCCAGCAAGAAGCTTTCTCTTGGGAAGTCAAAGACAAAAGAGCATTAACAGAACAGTTACAGTCTTCATTAATAGTTTAAGTTGAGGATGATGCCTGGAGGGGTTAAATCAAAAGCTCCCAGGAAAGGATGGGTTTGAAGGGTGGGAAAGATACCCCCAGGATTATCCTGGAAAGCCATCATGGCAACACAGACATTTGCTTCTGTGAACAATGAGCTGCAATTAGGTATGCACATAATACTTTCCTGGATAATTCAGTACTCGTTCTAAATGAAACTATTTCTTCAGGCTCTTCAGACATCTTTCTAAAATCACATTTGGTCCAAAATTGTACACGAGAAGTATGAAATCACTTGAAAATTTCCTAAATAGTAGAGGTGATTATAAACTGGTTGAGCAACAGCTTCTTCAGGATGTACTTACTCTCCATACTCTAAAACGCAGCCATGGAGGTGACCTCCAAGGAATCTTTTCATCACTTTCATATTACAAATAGACCTACAAACGCTGTATCTGCTGTAAAGTTAAGAAAGGTGTGGGAGGTTAACACAGTGTTCGTTGCCCTTCAGAGCCTCCTTCTATGATTTTGGCACATATAAGGATCTCAAAACTCCATTAAATAGCACCTGCACACACAAGTTACAGTCTTATGCATTTGGTGTTACCCTCACTGAACTCAAGTAAACATCCATGGGATTAGGCTGTATAAGGTGAGATGCACTGAACCATTTTACACTGTTTACATTTGCTTAAGAACACAAAAAAGAGCCGTTCTGGATTAGACCAAAGGTCTATCCAGTTCAGCATCCTCTTTCCCACAGTGGCCAATGAAGTGCTTCAAGGAAGCCCAAAAGCAGAATGTGAAAAACAGTGGTGCCCCCCTCCAAATTGACCAATTGTTTCCTGCCAGCAACTGGCATTTGCTTGCAAGTTGCAATTACCAAATAATAAAATGGTTTGGGAGGGTATCCATGTTGGTCTGCAATAGAACAGTTAGATTTGAGTCCAATAGCACTTAGAGAAAACAAGGTTTGGGGGGGTATTGTTGGCAGAGTTTAAACATGCAGAGGAACTGTTTAAAGAAAATAGCTCAGTTTATTAAAGAAGACATAAACTCTGATAAAACAGAGGAGCGGGATAGAGGCTTAACTGACCAACTCCTGTGAGAGAGAGGAATGAAGGGGGAGGGCTCAGTTGGAGCAGGAAGTTTCCAAATGGCATATCAGAAGACAGGAAAGACATAATTTGAAATTGTGGGAAGTCCCTAATATAACTATGCTAGCTAGCAGTCCTTTAGCTGTCCCCTATAGGCTGTTCTTCTGATTTTCTTCAAGGAAGTGCACTATAGACATATATTCCAACAGGTATGAGCTTCTTTTGAGACTTTTGAAAGTTCCTTTCATCAGAGATCACATTACTCATTCTTATACAATAGGGACAACCAAATTAAGAAAAAATACAATGGCCTGGACCTAGCTAGCATCTGATTTCTTGGAGATGGTGATGATTATGATGTTGTGATGATTTTGTTTCTGGGGGAATGCACTGAAATGGAGTTCCAGAACCTCTTTGACAAAATTATTTTTAAAATGTTTAAAAGTTCATGAGTTTTTAGTATACAGATTGAAAACTTCATTTCCCTTTTGAGAGTTCTGGCACCTCTCTCTCTCTCTCTTTTTAAAGCCCTGTTTATGGGTGTTCAGGAAACAATAATGAGATATTGATTCCACTGAGTTATCACGGTTCAGCCTCTTGCAACAAAAGCAGAAAGAAGCTTTCTCATTCATAAAGAAGGGTATTCACAATTGTTTCCAGGGAATTTGCAGAAGAAACATCGAGTAGAAAATGTACTGAGCATATTTTTTAATGTATGTTGAGCCATGCATAATGTGAAACCAGTCTGAATAAAAGAAAATGAAACATTCTATTTTTTTTAGTTCTGTGCTTAGTTATATATTAAAGCTCTCTCATAATATCAGAACTTAGAAGATCGAATGGGTAATAATTAATGAATAATCAAATGAAGACGTATTAATGGTTAGAACGTGACTCTGAGGGAGTTGTATGGTGGGTTTTTTTAAGCGGGTAGGATATGGGAATAAGAAAAAAAGAAAAAAGCCTATGAAATAAATATATATTGTATGAAATAGTCCTACTAAATATGT